TGTAAATGGTGTTATTTATTATTGGTTGGTGTTGTGTTATCTCAGTTGCTCAAAACAGGATCTTACTCTGGTAAATATTGAACAAAGCCATTTAATATTCCACATATTAATCTCCACATCTCTGTTTCTGTTCATATATTACAGAGGTTTAAGGTGACTCTCTAAGGCTGCTTGTCGGTGGCAAATGTTGGGATGGTATTTTCCAGGCTGAACAGAGCTACAGAGCTTCATCCCAGTGTTTTGTCCCAGCTAAGCATGAAGTCTAAGGACAAATCTAATTCTAATGACCTTTTCCATCTGAAAACGAAGGCTGTATTTGCAGAATTAACTCTGGCATAAAATGGTGAGAGCTCTTTACTGCAATATTTATGTTAACTGACTTTTGTGATGCAATTCCTAGTGTAAGTTCCAGTAGCAATAAAAGCCACTGTAAAATAAGGTTGCCATTTTACAAGATACTTTGTGAAATGCCATAAAATTACTTTCGTCGTGATCACCATGTCTGCTAGAAAGATAACGTAAAACCATTTGCCAAATATGCAGGGATTATCTTCCCATTAAACATTTAGTCTTTAAACTGATATATGTTCTGGTCTGAATAGACTGATTCATGTGAGTCAAGTTATTTCTTTATGTTAGCCTGCAGGTGCTGGGGACAGTATTCACAAAGCCTAGCTTTTACCTAGTGTGTCTCTGGTTTGTAAGCTCTTTCGGGAATCAACAGCATCCTTCAGAAAACAATCCACAGCAGCTAGGATAGGCTTCTGCTCTGAGGCATCATTCAGAAGGACTTGGTTCTTTTTCCTTATGACAGAGGAAATTGAGGCTTAGCCTCAGAAGGCGAAAGTTAAATATCGTGAATACCTGCCTCAATTTCATCTCTCACTTTAAATGTAACCTTGTATTTGATATGCTTTATGTGAACACAAGTCCTTTTGATGTATTTTTCTCTTTTCTCTTCTAGACACCTGTGGGCAAGATAGCTTTGCAAGGTGGGAAAAGCTCAGTCCTAAAATACACCTCTGACTTCTCTAAGTGCTAGGTCACTTTATTGTTTCCACTGTTCTTTTGCTTTAGTTTTCTTATAGTTCTCTACCCTAAACGGTGTTCAGCTTTTACTTTGACCAGGACTTGTTAGTACTTGGATTCATTTTAATCTGGGATATTACAACTAATACACACCAGCAGAACATGTTGTAGGATCTTTCCAGGTCAGTGGATCTTTTCTCTTACACTGAAACCACTGACATTGGTGTTAAGTCCTTCAGAAGGATGAGAACACAGGGAATTGCACCAACTGCAATGTCTCCAGAGCATCTGACACCACTTTGCCCCCTAGAAATCCATAGTTTTCCTGCCATGTGACATACTTACAGTGCTTCTGCTTGCAAAGTTCCAGGCACTGCTGTCATAAAATGTGGATGTTGCATAGAGGAGAGGCCAGGAGCAGAGGTGAATCAAGCGGTCAAATCAGAACCTGTATTTGTAGTATTTTTAAAGAAGAGGAATTACGGTCTGTTGTGAAATGAACAAATATCTGGGGAACCTTGTATGAGCCAGCAAGCACTTATTGCACAGGTTAAACTAGCTTTTTTCTGCACAATTGCCCGGCAGAGCTGACAAAGCTGAATTTGCAGTTCTGAGAATCGCAGGAGGAAATAAGCCCCCTGTCTATTAAAAGGACACAGCAGTATATGGAAGATACAAAGGGATCTTGAATACAAAGGTCTGTCCCACTGCATGTACCCTTTTAGTGATATATTTTAAAATCCAGTTAAATTGCAAGATTGAATTTTCCTAATCCAGTAGTGAAAGGCTCTGGTACACGGTAAAGTACAGAAACGTACTTTAAACATTTCTTACTGTAAAGATTTTCTTTCCGGAGTGAATGTATTAAAAAATGAAGTCAATGGAATTGTGCCTCACAGGAGGAGGGGAAAAACCATCAATAAAAGTCCACAGAAGATTTTCAAGGCTCTGCTACAAAGGCTGCAGCCACTGCCTTGAGAACTGTGGAAGCAATCATGAAGTGATTCTCACTGCCAAGTATAACTGGGGGATGCAAAATCCTTCACGTAACAATGCTTCTGTGCTATTACTACTGACCTTACACTGCTGGGTACACAGCTGCTGGCTACTGGCTATGATGGGAACAAGCTCGGTGCAGCTTTAGGGAGGAGTGGCTGACTTGATGCTCCAGGCATCTTTGTTTTGGTCAGGGGGAAAGATAAACGTGCTTCAGTTTTGTTGCCTGCAAGACCGGTGCTGAAGGCTTTTCCTGTTAACTGAAAGTCCCAGAGTGACCTATTATGACAACTGCAACATTCCTCTGCATGGGAAATTTAACTGGAGATCTGGCCCTTCATTCCTGTGTGTGTGAAATGCTTTTTGCACCAGGAGGTTCTGCTTCCAGAACGAACGCAGACAGGCTACAGCATGGAGGATCTGGCTGGGGTGTAATTACAACTTCTGACCAAATGATTTATACAGTTGAAGTGAAATATCAAGTAATATCCAAAATCAATACCGTGGCACCTTTTACAGCTGCAGGCACACATAAAAAAAAAGTGGGTTTTAGCTCTTCAGTCATTGTTCTAACTTGGAACAAAGGAGCTTTTTATATCCAAAATATCAAATAGTTGAGTCATCCACTACAGAGAGATCTCTAATATATTCTTGGATCAGAATTAGAAGCAATTTAGCACTGTCCAGAGATTTAAAAAAACCAGCCGACAAGGGTGTTTCAAATGGGTGATAAACAGTGTGGAGGTGAAACGTTGCAGCTGCTAAGTGATGGAGATTGCTATCAGGATTAAACAGGAAGCCTGTGTTTTACTGGATCAAGAAAGATTAGCCATGTGTTGAATATGGGATTATGAAGTAATTAAATAAATGAAGACATATTTCTGACACAAATATGCTACGAGTAAAAACGTAATTAGTCACTTTACATGCAATGTTTCTGTAATTTATCATTAGGGTCTTTGACTGGCAAGCATATCAGCCTGCTTTACACTGAACAAAGTCTACAGAAGCCACTGAAGGACTGAACCTGGTTTACTGTGCTAAGTGTGTTTCACAGGGATGAACTAACTGCTGCTATACATATGTAATGGGTAGAACTCCTATGGGGTTTGGGGGAAACAATGTTCTGCTGCTTTTTGCCAGCCTGGCCTGGCAATTCATGAGTTGAATGGTCAAGGGGGGGTTAAACTGGTCTGACCTCCAGTGGGATCAGAAAAGTATCAGTGCTGTGCAAAAGTGGCAGCCCTGATGTAGTTCCTTGTGCATAAAAGTCCTCTCATATTTAGCAGGTAATGTGGTTTGTGCATGGCAGTGCTGAAAGGCAGCAATGTCTGGGGTGAAACACATGAGTCAAATGGAGCTGCATACTGCTGAATGGCAATAGATTTCTGTAAGCTCACAAGGGAAATCTCTTAACTGTGAGATTGAAGATGGTGCAAGATCTTTAATGCCTGTGCAGAGAAGACAAATTCTCTGTTGTTAAAGCCCTTACAGAAAAGGCCCATACAGAATAAACTGCACAGTACTCTGTTAATCCAGGTAAGAAAGGAGGAAGCTTGCGTTCACTCACCCTGACAGGTAGAAGTTAAAGAAACCTTATTTGTCACTGAAGCTGACAGTTTCATAGGAACATCCGTGCACAACGGAGAGGTATTTGAGAGGAATAACTACCCTGGACCACCACCAGAAGAATGGTATAGCCCAGTATAGAAGGGAAGATGGAACGGGGCATTTGGATCTGGATTTACATCCAAATCTGCAGGGTTTGGTTTGGATTTCCTCTATTTGTTGCTTTTATTGGGTTATAGTTTGCCCTCCTATTGGCATGTAGTTTTCATTAGATTCTATGCACACCAAGTAGAGAAAATAATGCGGGGTGCTTACGTGCAAATGTGCTTGTTCTCTGCTATTAAAATTAATAGAACCTCATTGTTTTCTCCAGTCCCAAAGGCTTTTATGTGGTTATGCGGTATTTAGGAACTGTATTTAAAATCAGATCTAGGAGCAGAACTATATATTGAGTTCAGTGCTCAGGTACAGCAGTAAAAACTGAATAAAAGTGACCCTTTTCTGTGTAACTAAAGGAATATCTGATGTGTCTGTCTGGAAAACGTGGTGTGAGAAATTGCCCAGCCCTGTTTCCCCCCTCCTCACCTGACAATGGAGACCTTCCCCTTTCTCACTGGAGAATGTCTCCTCCTTTCCCCTTCATTCCCAGACCAGTATTTAGTGTGAGGTGTCCCTGCCCATGGCAAGGGGGTTGGAACTGGATGATCTTAAGGTCCTTTCCAACCCTAACTATTCTATGATTCTGCCTTCCATTTGCCATCATTTACTTACTTTACTTCACTGTTCCCATCCCCCTTTTCCCCGGCACCCCTCAGGTGGCCTGGGCAGTGCCTTACTTCATGGGGCAGAAACCCCTCCGTGGCATGGGATAGGTTGGCCAAGGGAGGAGACCTCCTTGTCAGAAGTAATGACGAAACCTGGGATGACTTCTGTGCCTTCGGAATGTTGTTACTTTTATAAATAGTAAAACCATTGACTCAAGGCAGTCATATTATTGGGTAGTTTCCAATGCCTAAAGGGGCCAACAAGAAATCTGGAGAGGAGGTTTTGACAAGGGCAGGCAGTGATAGACAATGGGAAATGGTTTTTAACTGACAAAAAGCAGATTTAGATTAGATATTAGGAAAAACATCTTTATTGTGAGGGTGCTGAGGCGCTGGCACAGGTTGCTCAGAGAAGCTGTGGCTGCCCCATCCCTGGCAGTGCTCAAGGCCAGGTTGGACACAGGGGCTTGGAGCAACCTGCTATAGTGGAAGGGGTCCCTGCCCATGGCAGGGGTTGGAGCTGGATGAGCTTTAAGGTCCCTTCTAACCCAAACTATGCTGTGATTCTCTGATTCTACGTCCTCCCCAGGCTTATAGAAGCTGACATGTGTTGGTGTTTTCATGTTTTTACAGCCAGTTTTACAGCTCCGTAACTCCTCAGGCTGCAGCAGTAGTGAAGCCCCCTCTCCGAAGGGGCGATCCCATCATTCCCCACAGACACACAACGTGCCCCGGCCCCGCAGCCCCTTCAGCTCACACAGCGACCGTTAGAGCGACAGTTAGAGTGACCGTTGAAGTGACCGTTAGAGTGACGGTTAGAGTGACCATTAGAAAGACTGTTAGGATGACCATTAGGATGACCTTTAGAGTGACCGTTAGGATGACCCTGAAGGGTGACCGTTAGAATGACTGTTAGAGTGACCGTTAGATTGACTGTTAGAATGACCGTTAGATTGACTATTAGATTGACCATAGATTGACCGTTAGTGACCTTTAGAGTGACCGTTAGATTGACTGTTAGAGCAACCATTAGATTGACTGTTAGATTGACTGTTAGGATGACCATTAGAGAGACTGATATAGCGACCATTAGAGTGACCATTAGTGTGACCTTTAGAATGGCTAGTGACCGTTAGAGTGACCGTTAGAGTGACCGTTAGATTGACCCTTAGAGTGACCGTTAGATTGACAGTTAGAGTGACCGTTAGAGTGACCGTTAGATTGACCCTTAGAGTGACCGTTAGATTGACAGTTAGAGTGACCGTTAGAGTGACCGTTAGAGTGACCGTTAGAGTGACCGTTAGAGTGACCGCTACAGACGCCTCTCCCTCAGGCGGGCGCTCGAGCGCGCTCCGCCCCTGCGCTGCCTCCGCGCTGCAGGTAGATGGAGCCAGACCTCGGCCGCTGCCGCCCTCCCGCCTCGCCGCGCACACACACGCACACACACGGCATCGCCGGAGCCGCGGAAGGAGCCTCGGCGGGGTCGGTGCCGCTCCGACCCGCACAAAGGACGGGAAGAAGAAGGAAGAGGAGCGCACGGTGCTCGCAGCCCCGGCCGCTGGCACTGCCTGGAGGTAAGGGCTGCTTCTCCGCCCTCGCAGCCAAACTTCGCGCAGGCAGCGCTGGCCGGGAGGCTGCGCTGAGGTTTCACAGCGCTGTTTCCCCCTGCCTGGTTTCTGCCTGGCCGCAAGTGACCGGTTTTACCTTTATTGTTGTACCGGTGTTGCTGCTCCCGCCCCTCCAGGCTGGGCGGGTCCGGGCAGGTCCGGGCAGGTCCGCAGGCAGAAGTTGGCGAGGGGAGACGAGGCTGAGCTTGGGTCCGCTCTGAACTTCGCTGCCCGCTCCGCTCCTCTCCTTGCAGATGTCGGGGGTGCTGGTGCTCGCTGCCTGGTGCTTCCTGCAAGTGGAGAGCCGGCATCCTGAAATCATCACGAGTAGCAGCAATCATGGCAATTTCCTGGACAACGACAAATGGCTGAGCACCGTTTCGCAGTATGATAGAGACAAGTACTGGAACAAATTCAGGGATGTAAGTACTTCGTTTACAGCATGCTTCCTGTTCGTTTCGTTTGAGCGCAGCATCGTTTCAGTGGGTGGCTGATGGCTTTTAGAAGCGGTGGGTAGAGGACTGCGGTTTAGGCAACCGGTTGCTGCTTGTACGGGGAATGTTCAGAGCTGTTTGGAAGCCAGACGTTCTCGATTACCCCATGGATTGGGGCAGTTTGGGCTCGTGTCAGCCTCACTGAGAGCATATGGCCTCCTTTGAGGAGGAACTTTGAGTGAAGTTTCTGTGCTTGCTGCTAAAGAAGGCACTTAAATGTAAAATGATGAAGCGGTGTGTGTGTAAGAAAGGAATAGTTACCACTTCAGGCCACAAGGTGGTAAACAGGGAAGCTCGTTTTGCCCGCAAATCTGGTGGAAAACATTTTATTGTCAATTCTGCTCATAGAGATCTTTGACTCTGGTATAGGGTTGGAGGAAGCAATGCTTTGACTCGGGTTTTTTCCAGCCTGGAAAACAGGAGCATCTTCAAGATGTGTTATGACTTCTATCTGTGCAAAGCAGACCAGTTAGGGTTAAAATTAATTCTTGAATTCCCCTAGTTTAAATACAGTTGTGTACATTAAGACAGGGACTGGGGGAAAGGAAATGCAATGCTGATGGCAAACATAACATTTACTGCGTTCCTGGTGAGGCGTGTGTTGTCTGTATGTTGAAAAGCTGTCTTAGAGCGCAGACAGAAAACCCTGCTTCGGTCTGCTGAAGACTGAGTAAAGGAATCGTTGCTGTAACGTTAATCATGAGCACACGGAGGTTAAGTGTTCTTTATTGCATGGGATTTGTGCGCTGTGGCTGCAGTGTGACAGTGGGAAAGCGGAGAGTAGAGCTGGTCAGCAGTCCTACTGCTACTCTGTGAGAATTCGTTTGTTTGGGAGGCTCTGGTGTTAAGCGTTTGTTTCTGTGGTGTGAACAGTGTATCTGGCCTTGCAAAGAAGTCAGAGTATTACAGTTAAACGTGACCTGTCTCTGCCTCGCTTGTTCTCTGTTTTTCTCTAGTTGTAGTCATCTGTGTCTGAGAAATCATGCTGCTTTCAATCTCGGTGTAACAAAGTAGGGCCTTAAGAATGGTATCAACAGATACATCAGAATGTATATTTCTGTGCAGTCACTGAGATAACATCTACCTACTGGGGTGACTGGAGTTCTCATATAACAGGTATCTGGAAAAGCTTGTGCTTGTACAGTAACTACTATTTTATTAAGGGGATTTTACAAGTAATACGGTTTCATAGATTTTTAAGAGACGGCAAGGGAATCTCTGTCAATATCCTGTTTAGGCTCCTGAGGAGTGCAGGTTAAGGATTTCATTTGTTAATTTCTATGTACAAGTTGAATTCAGCAGCACTTGAAAATGGTATATTGAATGAAGGCCTGACAGATTAATCTGAAAACACTTTTAACTAGGGACAGATTTATGGCAAGGGATAAATGTATGGCAAGGGACATCTTTCAGTAGTCTTCTTTCAAGCTGAGGCCTTGTATTAATCGCACTTACTGAGCTTAAAGTTCTTCTTTTTTGAAACCTGGAGGCCTTGCAATTTCTCATCTTATTCCCCCAGTCTCCCAGGTGCAATTGTCAGAGAAATGATTCCTCTTCCTGTGGAAGATGTTTGTGAAGATTTCCTCTGTCATGCTTTAACGTTTCAGAACTGAAAATGCTTTTTTAGGCTTTCCGAAAATGCTGACCAAAACTGTAAAGCCTCAAAACTTTTTCCTCATAAAATGATTCTTTCTGTAGGAAGAAAACCCCCAAACCTCTTAACCAGTCCTCTGACGAGCAAAAGCAAATGGTATACAGTTCATGTTCAGTTTAGGTATCTTTCTACCCAGCCATCTTTATGGTTCTATTTAATTACTTCAAAGCTAGCATGCTACCAATGCATATGATTATCCATTAAATATTTTATGGGGCAAATTAACAGAGACTACCAATAACTTCCTGCTAAGCTTTTTCCAAAATGAAAATACAAAAAGCTTGCACATGTAATTAAGCTCATAATAACTTGCCTTCAACCAAAGTAATTTATTGTCTCATAATCTTCTGAGAGGTTCTGTGTCCACAGATGATAACATGCATGGGTAGAGCTGCTGCCAAGGTAATAGGTATAACAGAGACAGCACGCTTCTTGCATGCCATTAGAAGAAAATTAGTCCTTGCTTCATGGCTATGCTGTTGGAGATAGACTGTTAAAAGACTGCCTGATGAAATGCAGCGTAACAGCATTAACTGATGTGTATGGGGTAGATAGACTAGCATTTCATTCATAATGGTTGAATTGAAGGGAAACTGTCTTCCCATCTTCCCTTAGTTCCCAAACTGTAGCTATATGTACCATACATTGTTACTAGATGAGGTTCTTGATAATCGGCTGTGCACAGGAGGCTGGAGTATAGAAGTAATGTTTCAGTTAAATCCTGGGGTCTGACACTACAGCTACTGCAGAGCAGGTGGCTTAGTTCATACCCTGTAAATCATCAAAAGCAAGGTTGCAGTCATTATCATGATTACCTTCAGTAGCTTTCTGAATTGTTGTTGTATTACATAAATAAAATTGCACCAATATTTACATAACTGTCTTTATGTACAGTAGGAGAAACACATGTGGAGCTAAGATTTGACTGGTTTGGATGCGGTGACTTTAAACTCTATGTGGCTGCAGTGTAAACATCAGCATACACCTGTGCCTATAGTTCTGTCATAATGTTGCAGTACTTGATAATTATTTTACAGATGAAATAAAATTGAATATAAAATCTTAAATTGGTTTTCTCTGAACTTTTTCAGTTCTTCTTGTCAAAATCAATTGGTTGGCCAGCCTTACTGAGCTGTGGTCCAATATGGCCTCATTTGAGAAGACAGATATTGATCTTTTTTTTTACTATGACCCATATTTCTTTTGGGTGAAGACAGCATAGTAGTTGCACTTAATGGCCCAGCAGTCATTACTCTTCTGGGAAAAGAGAGCACAGAAGTACACCTCATTTGATGTCTGCATTACATCCACATAAGCAGGCTAAATTTTTAAGTCTGTCTGAATTTAATAGTGTGAAATGGTGACCTGTCAACACTTCCAAAAGGCCTCGAGAGATCTCTTTAAAACAATACAGTCTTTTTTTACATGATTTGAGTACAATTTGTAGAATGTTCAAGTACTCCATTTTTAAAAACAGCAGAGCCTGTAAATGTGTGTTGAGACCAATGTGACTGATCTGTTGTGAAGCACATGCTGTTGAAAATCTTGTGTGCTGTCTAGTATCAATGATGGTCTAAATGTCTAATGTATTAATAGGCTTTCAGTACCATCTGAACTCGATATTCCTGTCTGTCTTCTGCCCTCTTTTCCTTGTCTGCCATGGACTTTCTATGTGACCATTGACAAAATCCTAACTGTCTTAATTCCTATTTTATAGCTAGGGAGAATAGTATTTCTCTTCCTACGAACTGTTTTATTCACCTAATCCAATATTATTGGGGAATGTGGCTTGCTATTTACTTGAGTAACTGACTAGGTCTAGTTTAGTAAGTGTCTAATTCAGTATCTAATTCAGTATAGTTATTGCTAGAAAAGAAGGAAAAATAAGCCAGGTTGGAAGGACCTGCAGCTATTTCCTTTGCACAGACTTCAGGCTTGGGAAATCAGACATCAGGGATATGAGGAACAAATCAGATCTTTTGATATCATGAGCACAAATATTAAGGCCTTGATCTCTCAGTCAAATCTGCTGAGAAAGATCCTTTGGCTTAAGAGGATCTTCAGCACAAATTTGACACCTGAATGTGAAGTGAATTCCTGTAAGTCTCAGAAAACATTTAGTATGTGAGTAGCCATACAGGTAATTGTAATAGGTCACAGAGCAGCTTATCGTTGTGTTCACAGAGGTTTGGCACAGGAGACATGGAATAAGTGTCCTCTTAGTGCTAGGCCTGTCTGTAATCAAAATTATATGAACAGACTAATTCTATTACTTCTACTTGGACTTATAACTATTATATTATTAATGCTTATCTATAAAAAGGTAATAAGTTCAACTAGCTTTGAATTAAACTGCAGAAAGGAAGAAAAAAGAAGTTAAATGAACTTGGACGATATCTAGTATAAACTATAGAAGGAATTTCTGTGAAGTTGAAAGCTAAGACTCTTGGCATGAACTCTGGTTTCAGTGCATGCTCATGCATGGCAGGCTGCCAGGCCACGTTATGAGCATTAACTGAGCTGTTTCTCTAAATTTTATTGCTTAAAGACTTTCAGTCCAGGCTATCATGTTAAAACCGCCATGCATTATATACCTGGAGATGCTTTGAGACTGTGCATGTCTAAGAAGCAAGGTGTGAAATGTCATTGTCTGTGTGTCTATGTATCTCAGAATTTATTGTGGATAGATATATATAACTATCAGCATTGTGGATAGTTATATATAAAGTAGATTACATTGGATACCAGATTTCTCGGGGGGGGTCATAGATTACCATCCACTGATACAATCCACTGAAGAGACGATTTTGTCAGTTATTTATGTACATCACCTTTCTGAGCCTATGAGTTTCTCCTTGCGCCTGTTCTGGAGCACAGAATGAGGTGGTAAAGCAAATGCAAGCCTGGAAGAATACAGGTCCCCCAGCTCTTAGCCCTGTCACTGATGGATTGTTGGATTTTGGCCTGGCTCTTCACACTTCTTCACTGCTTTCCCTGTTGTGCTTACCTTTGTCTGATTTGTTTAGCCCTAAATTGGAAATGTGGTAGTGAAACTTGATAACAGAATGTTGGAAAACATGACCAGTACTGAGAAGGGTTGGAATACCAAGCAGGCAGAATTGGAAGACCTTGGGAACTCAAGTAATAGAAATGAAATGAAATTTAGAAGTACGAAGTAGAAGGTCATGGAATTGAGAGCTAACATGAATTTATTCTGGGTCCTGACAGCTCAGCTTGAAATAGATGAGAAGGAAAACCTGTGTACTTTCATTGA